ATATTAGGAAAGGGGTGTTATTTATGGAAAAATAACAATAATAATAAAAAAATAAAATAAAATATTTAAGACCAAAATGATGAGGCTCACTACAGCAGTTATAGACCGAGGGGGGACAATGTAAAGACAATTAGACCCAGAAGCATCCCCATGCTCACTTCACTTTGGACATACAGTTTATGATTCAGATATATTTGCGTAAATTCCAAATATGCCAAACATGAACTATTGTTCACATGCATACAGTTTCTCTCCGTTTTATGTTCGCAGCCTTTGTGGAAACACTCAGCACTCCTCAAACCCAAATGTCACGCAGGTTTGTGAAGCATCTCTTGGTCTGTTCCTAAAAATGGAGGAACATCCCATTGACTTTTCTCTAGTGCTGTTCCCATCAAAGCGGTGAAGGTTCAACTACTGCTCCATAATGTGCTTGTGGTTCAGTGGGGACAAGAACACTCCATAGAGACACATGGCAAACAACCTCTGTGCACAAGCTATCCTAAAACTTGCTCATTTGTGGGTGAAACTTTGGTAACATAAATACACCCAGCGCTACAGTATTTGTGTGTTCATGTTTTGATCTTTCACAAAGAGCACTCAAATAATACACTTTAAAGGGCATACGTTTTATCTTGCTGTGATGACACTCATGTTAAGGGGTCAGGAAAGCAAGCAAAAAATCTGTTATGCTACACAAAGATTGACAGTTCAACAATTGCTGTAACTCTAGGCAACAGTCTGTATGAATAACAAAAACACCATGTTAATATTATGGTTCTATAATTACAGAATGAAAATCAAAATGAAATCCAATATGCATGTGTGAACTCGTCTGTCAATCACTATCGCTATAGCAACAAGAAGGGGCTCAAAGTAGCTCCTATACTGTCCCAGCTTCACATCGAACTCCTCACCTGCAAGACACCAGCTCGCACTCAAGTCCAGCATCAAAAACCTGGCACTAGATTTTCTTGCAGTTATAGTTTGAATAAAACAGAAGAAAATGGAAAAAAGAACAAATACTCATTGCTTAAATTTTTTTTTTTTACATTTTAATCTTTCTGTTGTATGTTCAGCCTTTATTTGCCCCAAAGATTAGAGGGACAGTCCGGAATTTTGGACATTGGACGTCATTTCCTAGTGAGCCAGTGTTGGAGATGTGTGGAGACACTTTTTTAAATATTCCGTTCAGTCCTTGTATTTGCAGAGGTCGCTGGTGCTAGGCTAGTGCATGTCAATGGCCATAGTTAACCTGACACTAAAAACAATCTTACCCACTCCACAAAGCACCCAAAGCAAATCTATTATTATACCAGACTGTTGATGTAAATGTCTGTGTCAAAAAAACAACATTGCATTTGAAGGATTTGAAGGATTTATGTCTGAGCAGCAGCAGCAAGTTGTACTTCCTGATAGAAAGCTTGGCAGTGGCAGACTGATTTCACCTAGCACCATTTTAGCAGCAAAGTAAAATTCTGCTGCTGCTGAGAAAATAGTCCCTCAACATGCAACGATTCACGGGATGCAAGGTTAGTTTTATTTCAAACATTATTCTGCTATCAACACAGACATTTACATCGACAGTCTGGTGTGATAACAAATTGTTATCACACCAGATTGTTGAAAGACTGTTTTTAGTGGTAGGCTAACTATGGCCATTGACATGCACTAGCCTAGCACCAGCGACCTCTGCATATACCAGGACTGGATTTAATATTTTAAAAAGTGTCTCCACACATCTCCAGCACTCTGGCTCACTAGGAAATCAGGCCCTATGTCCAAAATTCTAGACTGTCCCTTTGAGGATTCACCCGGATGCCCTTCCTGAGTATAGATCACAAAACAGCATCTTAGCTCAATGTTGGATCATAGAATAAGGGTAGTGTGAAGGGTATTTTGTTTCAGTTTTTAGGTGGTCTAAAAACGGAACAACTAATTTTATGAAGTCTGTGGTAAGGTCCCATTTAGGTGGAAATGTGACTAATTGAAACTGCTGCCTAATGCTAACTTGTAACTTCAGTGATATTTGAGAGGGACTTATTTAACAAAACAAATCTGCTCACCTGCTCTAGTCCAACTAAGTCAGTTCTTTATGGTGAGATTATGTAAAGGTGCACTGTGTAACATTTCTGGCGGAGGATCAACCAGTATGACCCAGTATGGCATTGTGTGTATCCATCTTGCATTTACTAAGTTTTTTTCTAGACCTAAAAGCTTACAGCCTCTGCACAAATTTGACATGTATCTTGGCTGTCTCCATAGAGATAAAAAAGTGTAATGCCATACTGTGGAACATTCCAGGCCATATCTACATGGAGAGAAGCAGGTGATGGACCCTCCACCAAAAAAAGTTACACAACTCACATTTAAAACATCTTAAAGTGCCTCCAGTTAACTTTAACCCCCTCCCTGAGTAATCTTGATGGCATCACATTAAAATGTGTTTGTTATTTGTTTGCTGTTAGTGAGTCAGCTGAAAGATCTATTGTACTTGGCTGTATGATTTTAGAATAAGGTATTTTAATTGTGAAATAAATAAATAATAACTGCCTTTTTACTTTTTGTAGCATGACATTCAACAGCAGCCCACGGACTACGGATGAATAACAGCCATCTTAATTGATATGCAATGTCCCTGAAATAAATAAATGAATATAAATAAGTATCAATACAGTATAAAGTTTGCCCTATCGCACAAAATAGTACGCAGTGTTTTCCAATGAGAGGTGTGTCGTGTGCAGGGACAGCAGCGTTCAGTCCCCTTTGCAGAGCTAAAGCACAGGGGCAGTCCCAGAGCGCAGGGGAAGCACACACATATGCATAGATACACTGCGTACATCAGACTCACTGTTTTGCTTTCCCACGTTAGCCTGAGTATTTCACTGTCTGTGCTGAAGCCTCACCAGTAAAAAGAGGGCAAAAAGCTGTGTACTACATGATACAGTGCACAGGAGGTGAGCTGTCGGTATTTTAAATCTTTTTAAGATTTTCAGAGCGGAAGAAAACTCATGGTGGTGCGGGCTTCCTGTCAGTGACAAATCATTGGGACCACCCTCATCTCACAAGTGAAAGGAAAGGGCAAATCAACCCCTGGATATTTATTGAGCACTTTAATGCTTAGAAAATTTGCAAGTCCTGGCATGCAATTCAATTTCAATTAAATATAAACTAAAAATGCTAAATTTTAAATGTTTATTTTTAACTCATATGAATATGTAAATTATACTTTCTGTTGTACGCTTTATCTTAACCACAACAAGAATCTGGGACAATAGCTTAAAATAACAATTCTTTATGAGTGGGCATTTCTTCACAACTATTTACGTCTTTGGTGAAACCTGCTTCCCTTTCTATTTCCGATTTGTGTCATTCACAAAAACACAGTCTAAAAATGTGTCTGCTTAAAATTCAGTCCTTTAAATGATTGACGCTGTTTATGGTTTACCAGAAACATCCTAAACATTCCCACGGACAATCCCTCATGTGGACCTTTACGCCTCAACACCAACTGTCAAAAGTACCTGTGATTTCTGTACCTACTGCACTATACTCTATCTGATTTCTCTGAATACAATATTGTTCTTGCTTTTACTCCCCTATTTTGAACAACATTCATACTCAGTCCTTTTCACACTATCAGAAGGGGAAAGCAACGTACAATCATCTCTGGAAATGCAGATTTTTGACAATAATTTGCACTTTGATGTGTTTCTGAAACACAAGACACTCTCTTCTTTTGACTAAGAACAGAAACACTATATTAAAAACACAAGTGTAGTCTTACTTTCAAATTAAGTGTTTCTCATGAACAGGCATTAATTCTTCCATCAAATTCTTGAATGTCAACGTGACCAGTGATGCAGCTGGCACTGAAACAATTAAAGCATTTAACAGAAATGTCATTTTTGAAACCACCAAATTTGTGTTAGCAGCTTGTCTGGACGGCTGCCTTCACATGCACAAGGCTATTTCTCTCTCCCACAGAGTCAATCTATTCTCCCATTTGTTTGGACTGGAGTCAAGCTCAGACACTCACACACTGCCACCGTCGAGGAAGACAACAGGCTCACAGCTAAACAATTGTTAACAAAGATTATATCATCGTTAATATCTAGACACTGTTTACTTACAATAAAAGTCAAAAGACGGCTCCCTAACTGAACTATTCATGGGTTTCAGCTTCCTGTTATAGGCAATGTTTTTTCTTGTTCTGAAGTTTAGAACTAAACCCATGGATAGGCAAAATTATACGACAATGAATAAACAAATAATGTAGCAAAGCCAAATTATATTATTTATATTATTTGATCCTCCAAGCATTCTCCTTGGCATTTGACACTAGCTAGACATATTGTCTTGGTAATTTATCTCCTGCTCTTTTGTCTGCTTGTCCTATGTATGGAGATATTTGTGTTTGTGTTTATTTGTGTCTTTGATATTGCTATTGACATTCATAGGAAGCTAATATTGTCCGGCTAAAGTTGTTTTAAATGTGTTATATAAATAAACTTTAGCTGAACTGAGCACAATTCAAATCAGTATAGGTCTACAGATAAAGGATTATTAAGGCCACTTATATAAGACTGATTAATGAAAGGCTATGCATGTAATGTTGATTGAGTAGAAGGATGTAAAGGGGAGGGTAATGTCAGCTTTATGCAAAGTAAATCTTTAAGAAAGATTTAAAAGTGGCTAAACTTATATCTCGCTGAAAGTTACTGGTATGTCAAACCTTTTGCACTTGTTTGTAAGTTCCTCTGACATTAAGTTTTGCATGGAATTGATGTAAATATTGTGTCCTTTTATCCAATTTCTATCAGGAGCTGATTTCAATCTTTTTGGTACAAATACACAGTGTTACAGCACTAATGTCCCGCTAAGTAGCACAGTGCGCTGGCTGTAAAGAAAAGGCATAAAAATGAGTGAGGAAGACAGAGAGGTGTGAGGTGGCCATCACATCGCCCACACACGTTTCATCCACTTATCCATCACTCCATTACCTCCATGTAAATGACAGCTCTCCATGTCCCGCTGGGGGCAGAAAAAAGCCCTATTAGCACGCAGCACAGAGCGAGCCTGAGCTGTGCTTTGGGCCCACGCACGCTGCTCCTCCTTCACCTCCTCACTCCCACCAACTCCACACAGACGCACCGCTGGCTGCACCGCAGAGTGGCCGGCCATCCACCCTGGTCAGTGCGCTCCTACAAAGCACAAAACAACATGAAATCACTTGTGCTGAGTTGATTGTCAAAGAGGACGTGGGCTGGAGCAGTGGGCAGCGCGCCTCCCAGGTAAATGAGAACTCCAAACCTGCCTGCGCTTTTGGACACTCATCAGCCCCCCCACCTCATTCTTCTGATGGAGCAGTTATATAACCACAGTTTTACTTAAGCTATGTGCAACTGTGATTATTCTATGATAAAAAAAAACACCTTATACTCATATTTTATGGGAAAGATTTACTTAAGAAAACTTGTCACTGAATATATTTTTACTCTTTTATACTACGCCAATACAGACAAGAAACCGCTGCAATAGCTCCTTAAGAATTTCAATGTGTGTTACTATATTGGCTGTATAGTGAAATAAATATTGCACATCTTCACTTAAATGTCCACAGCGTTCATAGCATATTCATTTCTTCTTCCTTTAAGATTTCCCCTTCTGGAGTCATATTTTTATAGGTACAGATATCTACACAGAATGAAAAGTAGGTTTGGAAAATGATTTTAGAGGGGAATATTGCCTCACCTTAAAAGTACGGACATAAGCAATTTGTGTCAAAATATAGGTAAACTAACTGACGGATTCCATGCTTGTTTGTCGACATAAGAAGTAGTTTGTAGAGGAATGCGTCTGCTTTCCTGCCATAACATTTTGGAGCTGTTGGAACATGGGATAATATTTGGAGGGGAAATGGAAAAGACAACGGTAAAATGATGGAGAGTATACATTCCCTGTGCAGCCGCTGAGAGGTGTGTTTGGGCTGCTGCCCTCCTAAACCACGTCTGGAATTTCTGATTACAACGTCAACACACGTACGTATGTGTTTCCCCGCTCCCTCCACGTCCAGAATGAGGAGGGCTGAGTTCATACACCTTCTCTGTCAAATACATACATACACGATATTCAGGACTGAAACTAATCTCATCTGTATGTCTCTCCTAAAGACTTGGCATGATTTGGGAAGTTTAGCCCAAGCACACAGTGACTTCAATATATGATAAATGTTTATATAAATAATTCTCTCAGGAGTATGCATGGATGTTTTAAGTGGGAAATTAATAAGCTAAACATTAAATTAACTATCTGTATTAAATTAAGCAAGAACTGAGAGTATTAAATGGATCCTATCAGGAAAATCACAGACGAAGCATTTGGAACAAGACGTATAGAACATTTCTAAGTGCTGTGAGTGGCAGCTCATATGATTGGTTCCAGAAGTCATGTGAGGGCAGTATGGGGTGGCAGTAGCTCTGACGGTAGAGTGAACATTTCCACTAACCCACAGGTTGGAGGTTCAGTCCCATCTCCCACCAGTGCATACCGTTGTTGTGTCCTAGGGCAAGACATTTAACCCACCTCGCCTCCAGTGTTTGTGTACAATGATGTATGAATTCCTTGATGTGTTCACAGCAGAGGAAGAAAAGAGCTAGATAAATGCAACCGTTTAATGAATGAATACTGAGTTTTATGCCCGAGGCTGATAAAAAAAATAAGTGATGCTTTGAAAAGAAATGGAGCTGCTTCCAATGAAGTATAGGCATAAAGCTACCAATATTCACTGATAATAACTACTGCTGTTTAAACATATAGACTTGTGGATGGTATGGCCGGCATGTGTTTTTAAAATTAGTTTCTTTAAGTTGTTTCTTTTTTCTATTCGTGTCAGTCCCAAGCCAGCATAACTGAAGTGTTGCTACCAGGGCAACGGACACATTTGCCAATCCAATCTTTCCTTGCACAGCAACAGGCAGACCATTTTCCCTGAGTGCTGAAAATCTAAGAGGAAGGTAAAAGCCAATTGGATAGAATCGAAGGTTACATTTGTATTTTAATACAGTGTGTTTTATATGATGTAGCTCATATAGCAACACTGATGGAGGGAAGTCAGTCTGAGTGGCGGTGGCATATATATTCCATACTGTCCTATTTCTTGGCACGTTCTGTTAAAAGAAGGAAACATGTGAAGGTTTCCTTTTGTAATGGTAACCAATAGACTCTAACTGTCCTTGAAAGCTTTTGTCCCTTTTCTCTCGTCCTTAAATAGAATCTTTGATAATAAAATGAAATAGTGATCTACACTCATTATCAAATTAATATTTTAATGCAAAATTTCAAGAGAAACGAAAGAGAGACTAATAAAGAATATGAGGAAAATGCAACAAGGCATTGGTGTGTGTGTAGTGAATGAACACACAGAGTCAGGGGGAGGAGGAGGAGGGACACTGGTTAAGACTGCCTTCATGGATCACTCTCACTATCATAAGGACACAAGCAAGTTTACTGAGAACAGGAGCGCAAGACGACGGCGGTGAGGTGCGAAGAACTGCTTTTGTATGTTCACAGAGGAGGAAAAAAATAATTAAGTTTAAAGAGAGAGAGAGAGAGGGAGAGAGAGAGAGAGAGAGGGAGGAGAAGAGAGGAGGGAGGGAGGGAAAGGAAGGAAGGGTGAAAGACAAGAGTGAAGGGGACAGACAGACAGATGGAGGGGAAGCAAGCAGCGGACGGAGAGAGGAGGAGAGACAAAGCGTGTTGACTGAGGAAGTGTGCATGCCATGTGGCCCATGTTGCCAGGTAAGACCCCCGTACTGCTTGTGCTATAACATCTATCAAACTTTTCTTGCTTTTCAGGTTGTTTCTGCGCAAAAGTTAATTTCCACAACTTTTCTATATTGTCATTTTGATGTCGTGTTGAGGTGCTAAGAATATTTTGGAAAAACTATTGCATTGCTGTCACATGGGGTGCTAAATGGACTTTTTGAATCCCTGTCTTGTGCACGTGCGCTTGAATGTCTGTGAATGCCTCTGCCATGATAATTTACTGTACATTATCCGTACATTCCCCAGACTTGAGGAATGTTCCTACTTTTTTTTTTTTTTTTTTTTTTTTTTTTTTACATTTTCTTTGTTTCATTTTTTTCTCTCACACCACACACAATTAAGCGCAGTGTCAAAACTAACTCCTGCCTCAAACCAGTTGAAACTTCCCACCGGCAGGACAGAAATCTCTGGAATGCGATTATCACGTATTTGTGTTTATTTTATCGCGGCGGCTTCGCTCACAAAAGCAAAGAGGAAACCGGATCATGATGGAGCGAAGAGAGAGGGAGGGAGAGAGGGAGGGAGAGAGGGAGAGGGGGGAAGAGAGAGAGAGAGCTATTTGGCAGTGTGCACGTGAGTGTGTGGGTGGCTGTGTGGGTGTCAGGGTGAGTGGGTGCAGAGCTCTTTGAGTGAGAGCACATGTGACTCCGAGTGCATTCGTGTGGGCGTCTGATTGTGCGCGAGTGTGTGTGTGTTGTGTGTTTTTGTGTGTGTGTGTGTGTGTGCATAGGGAAGGTGAAAAGTATGTGTGTGCAAAGGTAAGGTTGCTGCTGGATTCCCATTGAGCACCTCTGCATCATAAGAAAGACTGGAGAAATTATCGTGTGTTTTTTTTCAATAGCAACATAAGAAATCTCACCTTGTTCTGTTCAATACTGGTATTTGGGCAGCCGGGCAAATTGTCTTGTATAATTTCGGAATGCCATGTATGTTGATGTAATGGAAAGACCTACGAGCATAAAAAAACAAATTAATATCTGAAAATTGTGATAAAGAGACAGGTGTTTCAATTATTACATTCTTCAAATTACATTCCTGTTGTTTCTCCTCTGCAGGGTCACTACCCCAAATCATTAGCATGCTTTCATTTGCATAAATTGGTTTAACTCTAGTGGGGTGTTCAATTTAGCCAGGCTTAGGAGTGGCATAAAGACTACACTTGTAACTACTTGTGGGAGAATTTTGACTTTACCCAAAAAACATGTGGTCAGTCCCAAGCTTAAAAACTGAAGAGGGTAAGGAAGGGCATCCAGGGTAAACTGTACTCTCATGCAAATCAATAGGCATTACTCCGCAGACACCGCAAAAGAGCTGCAAATAAAAAGCATATTTAACATATTTAGCAGATGTTATAATGCCTGTATCAACATGTGCCACCTCTAATGTCACGAGAAGACAAGACAGACCAGTCCCACAAACATCATTGCCACAGTACGCTTTAGGATGAGAAGCGCTCCCCTTTCTCCCCATTTACACACACACACACACACACGCACACACACACACACGCACACATTGAGGCGCCTGTCAAACCCAGCGCATTCCTGAGCGCTCCGACACACAGCGGCTCAATGGTGGGATGAATGCGAGGGAAATTCATCTGAAACGTGAGGACAAAAGCCAGGGGGACATTTAAGAGGGTTTAACTTGGCAGGACCCTGGGAATGAGAGGCAGAGAGGAGGAGAAGGGGAAAAACGCACATACATAAACACATATGGAGAGCTGTACATGGACTGCGCATAGATCCGCCGCATGTACACACGGATACACTCACACACTTCCAGCTGCGGCTGCAACAGGCTGTTAGAAATGGGAACAGAGGGGAATTCCCAGGGAGGAGACACTGAAAACACACACATTACAGAGTACATACACCTCTCCAGCCCTATGCACGCACACTACACCCCATATGCATTATTGTGGTGCTTAAACTTAATGCAAGTCAAATTAACATTATTATTGATGTATTATTTGAAAGAGAGATTACAAATAAGACCAAAGGCAAAACTCAGAAAACTGAAATCCCCGCACTGCACACATAATATGATGACAACAGTCTAGCTGTGTTATCTGAACCCTACTGTGTTAAGGGTCTTATTTATTTATCAGGATTAATAAAACTAGTTTGTGAAAGTGTATTCAAGAAGTTTTGACATAAAAGTTGTGTAATGTAATGTGTTCACTTTTGTGCTTTTTAGATTATTAAAATGTAAAAATGAATGCATGTGTGGCACTGTAAATGAACGTGAGCGTTAATGCAAGCTTCGAACTTGACTTTGGTTTTGCGGATCTTGAAATTGTGAAAAGTGTGTGCTGACTTTTCAGTATCAGAATTAAATGGTGATGGTCTGGTTGTGCTTAAAATAATTTGCAGAAAATGTCATTGCATCTATGTAATGTCTATTTTAATTGATGTTGAAGGTGAAGCTGAGTAGAATACTTTTTGTAATACCAAAATTCATGCAGAAAGACTTGGAAAATTGTAACTTAAATTGCATATTGATTCAAAAGCAATGGAGACAATGTTGAGACTCCAAACCAAGGACAATCTTTTTAAACATGTTTCATCACTGGATTTTGCTGTCACTAAACAATGCATTATCTAACTATGCTGCCTAAAAACATGCCCCCCAGCAAATAGTTTTATCTAGTCACTTCAAAGCCCGGCTGGTCCGATAGACTGCGCTGGTTTCGTCAGGTGTTTGTATTGTGGTCAAAAGCTTATGGAGGGGAGGACAGGGGTTCAGTGGCCAGGTCACCAACTCTCTGATGTCCAGCCTCCAAAGCTCAGCATTACAACTGAGAAGAATCAATCAATAGACTTTACTTGTACATGGATCAATACAGATACAAAACTGAAAGAAACAAATCTGTGCGTGCAGGGGAATTTAAGCAGTTGTGCGTCGTTTTAATATGTTACCTCGAGAGCAAAACTACAACTTAGTAACTATTTAAAGAGCTGAAACAGTCTGAGTATATTTCAATGAGCATTATTTGATCAATCATGCAAGATCATTTGATTTTGATAAAGCAAAATATAAAAATTCTATTGTTATTTAAATATAATGATCCAAGTGTTCAAAAGCATGTATATATATTTCTAGTTAGACTTTATGGGAAGTTAACATTGTAGAAATACCCATCCCAGATACCAGAAACACCGCTCATCATAACTGTACTTCTAAACCCGATAAGTGAAAGAGTGGGCACTGTAATTTATTCAGGGAATTTCACAATATGAATCTGTAGACACACTGCTGGTAATATTGTCAGTGTGTGGTTTTGATAGACCTATCTATGTCTAAATAAAATAGAGAAAATGCAAGTTGATTTCCCAGATCACTCTCACTCTCAAAGTGAAAGTGATGAGGCAGTCTGCAAATGAAAAAAGGAGAAGTCAGGAGGGGGGGGGAGGGTGGTCGGGCAGGTGAGCAGAAGCATGACATCTAACACATTTGAGGGGGATTTATACAGACGGACATGTTGAACAGGTACCGTCCCACCACTGATGTAGTCACAAAAACACACAGGACATGAAGACGGCATTTACACAGAAATGATAGGAGTAGTTTTCCGAGTTGACGAGCGTTTTGCACTTTTTAACAGTTAGAGTGTTTAGTTTGTTCTAATGTTTCTCTATTATCAGAAATGTCATTAGGAATGAATCATTGACAGATCATTACAAAACTGAGAGGTGTCTAGACTAATGGCAATTTTTGACATTTCCCATGGTTTTAAAAGCTACTTGAGAGTTATTAACTGTTATTCACAAGAAAGAACAAAAAGGACTACATTTGCATGAACAATCTGTAGAGAAGAAAATACAGTAGGATACAACGTGTGAACGCCGGTTAACTAAAAAGTCAGCTTCGTTGTTTTTTTAGGGCATCTTTGACAGTCTTAAAGCTTCATGACGAATATTTTCACTGATAAAAGCGTATCAATCAGTAATGACAAAGTAGAAAATCACTGTAAATTGTACCATGATGATTCTCTTCCGTCTTGGCACTTATTTGAGCCCATGTTGTCGAAACCAACGCTTTACCTGGCTGCACCGCAACCATGTGTCATAATAAAGCTAAATTTAAGAAATTTGCATTCAGACTTATCCTAAATATAAGCTTATAAAATGTTGAATACTGGAACTTAAATTAAAATACTGCCTATATTTTACCATAGATGTTGTGCAGGGTTTTATTTTGTGAAGATCTGTCTCTGAAGCCTTTTTAATCTGGAGTTTTCACCTGTTCTGATCGTTTTGTTTTGTTTGTTTTTTTTGTTGTTGTTTTTTTGGTGTTCATTTCTTACTTGTTGCATACATCTGATATCTTCTCTTTAGCATTCACCTCAGTGCGCTGTGTCACCTCCTTGTCGCCAGTAGCGTCTTGTAGTGAGTGACTGTACTCGTTGGCCCAGAGTGCACTGCGGGGACGGTCCCTTGGCGAGAAGGGGGCAAAGGGGGAATTTCACTCTTTTTTCACGTGTGGAGAATAGCGATGACGGTTGCGCGGCTCTGTTTGATGTTTGCTGTCGGACTTGTAGCTGTAGTCAGTCGATGTGAGGGCAGCGAGCGGAGTAAGTGGCATTTACGAGCGCTCGGTAGAAAAAGCCCCGCTGGTGTTAATGAGACGAAGCGAGATGTTCCTCTTGCCTTCCCCTACGCCGTTACGCACACACTTTTTCGCCTCTGGGTGCTTCGGGGCTGAGCTCGTGTGTTTTTTGTTCCGGTGTGTTGTGTTGGACAGATGCACCAGCGCTGCGCTGATGGACTGTCGGCAAAGCAACCTTATTTACTCGACCGACTCGGCTTCAGGTAAGAAAATGAGCACATGGCGGCTTTACAGGCATTTAATCTCACTTTGGTTCAACGCTAAAATAAATTCTGATTTTAAATAGCCTTGCACGGGTTAAATAATTAACTCATTCATTTAGCCTAATTAAAAACAAAATTTCAACTTTTAGAAACAGTTTGCCTATTCCATGATTGAGACTGATTAAAATTGTGAAATGCAGACTACACACAAAATGTTAAAGTTTAATTTAAAACAAAAGTTTTGAAACCAGAAGGTCGAGCCTATTTTTGTTTTATATGGAACAGATTAGAATTGAGGATTGGGTTAATTTTAATCCCAAATCATCATCAAAAACATTTTTCTCCAAGGTACCGATGTGCACGAGGTGTATGGAGCATAGACATATATGTCTATGGTACAGAGGGCACCGTCCCTGGACAGGTCCCCATACTCTCCATAAACAGTTTTACGCTCCGATTGAAGTTGAGCGTTGTTTATGAACGCGTCCTGCGGCATTGAGCGCGCTCCCTGTGCCATAGCAACAGTGTGTGGTCTCATCTCCTCTGGCTTTGGCATGGCCATTGTGTGTACCGTGCGCGCGCGTGCGCGCGTGCGTGTGGGAGCAGAGAAAGAGCGAGAGAAGGAGCGATGCATGCAGAGATGTGGTATGTGAGTGGAGCTGGAGGAAATTCTTGTGTTTTGGAATGCGTTTACCCCGGGGGAGACCCCGTGACTCCGGGACAGACAAGAGGGTTAGGCAGAGATACGCACAGTTTGTGAGAGGTACTGACCCACTGAAAGTGCTCTCGAAGAATTACTTCATGATAAAACACGTAGATCCTTTCATGTGACGATAACAATAAGCCAAATGAACATTTTTACTATTCTTTAATTTTATTTTCACATTTGTTCTCAGGAGACTGTTTTAAAGTCATCCAACAGGGGGCACCTGCGACACGTGTTGAACATTTAAAGCCCACTATTAAAACCCATTGGAAAACGGAGACACGGGGCTGCTGTGGACGATTTAAAGTTTAAATGCCACGTTTTCATTTTATATTTTACCATATATTGGAACCATCACCATCTGAAGTAGGCTGACGACAGCAACAACAAAACCTGTTGGTTTGTATTTTTAGATTCAAAATTGGAAAAATAGAAAATAAAATGTAGGCTATATATTTGTTCTGACATTTCCATCATCACAAGTGACTTGACTTGGTCGTACTTTGTTAATTGTGGAACACTTAATTTCAGTGCCATTTTGTAATTGCCTAATATTCCATTTAATGTGCTAGCACTAAATGATTTTAAATTTCCAAGAGGATGTTCTTTCTATTTTCAATAATGGATTTGAATGGAAAAATATGGGTCTACATTCTTGCAGAGGTCCAGATCATGTATTTTATGTAGCACAGTCAAAGGACAGGACTTGAATGCTGTGTTCATGCAGTGTGTCACAGACTCATACACTAGCAGCACAAGTGTGATCTTGGATTTGTGTTTTTTATGGACAGACTGGGGTTAGGATCCCGCTTGGTATTGGACTCAGCAGGGTGTTTCTGGAACAGTGCTAGGACGACAGGGAGAGGGACTGCTAAACGCTCGCCCACACACAAATGTGAAATATTCTAATGAGCAATCTGGCCCTTTTGAATATTATGATTTTTCTCAGCACAGACATGGTACAATGTGTGACATTGTGCACACCAATAGCAACGCTGTGAACATTTCTCTAAGTGGTGTTCAAAAAACAGTCTGTCAGATTTGAGTGACGCGCTCCTTTGCTACCTGCTTTTCACAGGTGAGAATCAACGAGGACATAAACAAGGACTCTGTCACTCAAGAGCTCTCCTCCTGGTAAGAAACTGATTTTAAGTGACATTTCTGGGCCTTTTGGTCAAAGATTGAGCTGTTTTTGCCAAGTTAAGAAAGATGTTCTTGTATTATTTTCTCCAAATGTAATCCAGTACTTATTTGCAGTTGACAGTTCATTAGATGTATCTCCTCTATAACCAGAAATAACTTGAACTTATCGAGCTGGCCCGTGTTAAGGCATGTACTGGTATAGTGTATATGTACATAAAACATTTTAATATCAGGATTTGCCAGCACACACATAGCTCCTCACATGGGACGGCCCACACACACTCCCACGTGTTTCCCCTTTGCCTGCGCTCTCTTCAGATGTAAGGCACATGACATCATTAAAGAGGTGCTCCGAACAGTCCGAGTAGAGCAGGAGCGAGTGGGTAGACTGTGTGTTTCTGAGTGGGTAGACTGTGTGTTCGTGAGTGGGTGAGGGGAATGGAAGTCAGAGCTCCAATGCGGGCTGTGTGTGCGCTGAGTGTGCCCAGCCTGGAGGCTCTGGTGCTGGGCCGCGGTGCCTCCCACGCTGGGGTACAGCGAGGCGAGGAGTGGGAGGGAGGAAGAGGCTGTGAGTCAACGCAGCGCCCCCAGACAACGGACCACCAAAGGAAGAGCTGCTCCATTCTACACGCATTCAAACTCACTTTATTATTGTGGGGAGAAGAAGCTGCTGAAAAGTGCTGAAATGGCACTTAGGATTAGGAGGAAACAGTTAAAGAAAAGTTTGTGGGTAAAAAACATGCTCCCTGAGGTGACTCCCACGCTGAGAAAATTCTTAGAATAACTCAGTTTCCATTTTATATGCCTCATAATGTATACAATTGTGGTTTATGAAAGTTTGAAAAAGGATTTGTACATTCTGTTTGTACATTCTGGTTCAGAGTTTTGCTTGATTTTGAAGCTTTTTTACATAATATTGCAATTTTGTTATAGATAAGATAAGAACCCTGCCCTTTAAAGTGTCTATGCAAGTTTAGTCATAAGTTATGTGTGAGTGGCTTTAAGGAATACTTTAATATTACACTTGATTCTACAGAATTCACTTGGGAAAAATACTTTTTCTATCAGTATCTACTTAACATCATTTACATTAAACAACATTATGAATATGGATTTGATGCTAAACCTTGTGTCTGTACTGATCCCAGCTCAGTGTGCTGTTGGTGGGACAGATGGCTGTCTCAGTCCCATCTGCTGGATCCTCACTCTCTCACTCCGTCTGCGCCCTGAGCCCAAACGCCTGGCCATTTAGTCTTCGTCAATGACATGCCCGCATTCCTCGCATACACAGGCATACATGCACATGGATACATATATACACACACATACATACATAAACACACATACATACATACACACTTAAGTACTTACTTGATCATAGAAGTTATTAATTCAATCACCTTGTATGGCTCAAATCTTATTATAGGCCAAAAAAATCATCCAAAACACCTGAGTAGTTAAAAAAACACACAATAAATATTGACCCGAAAAAAATTGTTGTTCCATCATTCATATATTGATGGAATAGTAATTATCAATATAGTAATTCTTGTGACATGGCCTACATGCATGTTTTCCAACTAATCATTGGTATTAAAAAGTAATGATTTAAAAATATATATTTATTTTTGGAATAAATCACAATTTGGTATTAAAGCCATATAAATGGAAAACAGTTTTGTAAAGGTGGGATTAGGAAAAGACCAAAGATGCTATCTTCACTTTGTCAAAGATGAAAATGAGTTGATGTCAATTCTTTACCATGGTGATTTATAATGGAAAGTGAGCAATGACCCCTAGCTATGAGGTGTCTCTCTTGAGTAATTTCATTGAGAGATTGGGCTTTGCAGACTCATTTCACCCAAAGGGCAAAGGGTACTTCTTATAGTACTATTAACATTCAAATGTTCTAGACAAACACTGATGACATTATTATTATCAGCCCATATTAGTGAGGTCACTGTGCAGTGAGCTCAGAGTTGGTTTTGGGTTTGGTCTTTCTCTTTGATAATAGAAGGCGGTTCTCCAGGAAGCCCACAGGGAGTCCTCCAGTCTGAGGCGGGGAAAACGTCCAGGCGATAGAGCTGCACTGAGAGGCAAGCCCACTGAGGTGGGACCCAGTGGAGGAAGGCGGAGGGAGTGGTGTGAGGGTTCGCACAAGGAAGTGTGGAGAGGAAGCGTCTCGTGCATGCCAAAGGGGGAGAGGAATGTACTGGTGTTTTAGGACCACAGCATCCTCTACTCGGGGTTATGTGTGACCTCTGACCTTTAGGGCTGGGTGGAGTGGCTTAGCTGAGTGTCAGCTAAAGACATTGTCATTGCCTAAAAAGCCCTGCTCTGACGTGTGTAGAGGTACTGATGAGGATAGGAAGGGACTATGGGATTTTAACGCACTTTGTTACTTCAGTTATTCCGCTTACATGGAAAAGCACATGACCAGGAAATGGCTTATGCAGATCCACGTTTGGTAACACTTAGGGGACTCACTGTTCTTAATCTGAAAACACAATAGAGCTTAATATACACTGTCAGCATCACTGTAAGAGGAAGAAGTATATGACAGCATACAACATTAAGGTCAAATACTATATATTACCTAAGTAGACTTAAAATAACTTTTAAAATAATCATTGCCTTACTTGGTTTGAAAAGTTGACATTTCCCCTATTTTTCACCAGTTATTATATTAATATCACTGCAAAAATAATACTATTTGCCCATTGTTGTGCATTGTACATCTGTGACCTTTTATTTGATTTTTTTTTTTTTTTACATCAGAACTGAGCCATAAAAACCTTGTTAACCAACAAAACTGAAATCAGTCTGCCCCCTCTGTAGTCCTTCTGCAGACACTGAGCATGTGTTACCGGGGGCGACCATATCTCTATAGTACTAGGGCAGTGGAGTCATGCCTCTGCAGCATGACCGTGACTTCACGCGCACACTCCCCACAGCCTAATATAGTCAGCAACACACACAAAAAGCGCTTTATGAGCCAAGTCAGGCAGGCCAGCGGCCACGAGAGGGACC